GCGAAGGGAGCACAAGGCGTGCACTCGACGTACTGACCGGAAAGGTAAAATCCAAGGAAGAGCTGCCTGCTTTGGCGAGATTCTTGGTCGACCTCGTTCGGATATCGCAAGAGACGGAAACGATCCGAGAGTTCAGGATTCTCTCTTATGTTCTGCAGCACATATTCGATGATGTGGAGCGAGAAGAGGCGGAGCTTTGGGTAGGCTTTGCAAGAACGTTGGAGAAGAGTGGTGAGTCTCTGTCCGCGTTCATTGGTACAATTCAGTAACCGTACGTCCAGCACCCAATACGTCCATTGCTATTCTGTCTGCGATCACTTCCTTTGGTTCCGAGCCTTTGCGTCTTGAACGATACCGCAACGAACTCGCTGCATCACTTCTTGGCGTACCTGCTTCAAAAGCAGAGACTGAAGGCTTGATGGTACTCCGAAGATTGGCAGCAGTCGCACCACCCTTCGAATCTGACGTGGAGTTCTTGCCTCAGCAAAGAGCGGTTAATGTCATGAAAGCGTGTCAACAGTGGATTGCATCCGATGACGACGATGTCGGTGAAGAGATCGAGTGCGCGATGACTTTGACCTTTTTCCATCTGGCACCGATATTACAGCACGTGCCTGGAGCTCATTGGGCCTTCGTGTTTGATGTGATCGAGAACAATCTCGAGGTAATGGTCCGAATTATCGGCATAAACTTTCAACTGACTTTTAGGCATAGAACTCTGTCATGACGGATGAGTCCACCCTGGTGATACTGGCAAGGACACTGCGGCTGATCATTCTGATCCAAGATCTCGTCTCCACCAACAAAGCTCTTCGGGCAGATTGGAAAGAACGAGAGAATGCCATCCTTACGGCGGTGAGAGATCTGGCAACATCGCAGCTAGGTGAGTGCCCGTTCATTCCCCAAAGGGACTTTCACTAATTCGTTTTCAGACGCTGAAGTACCTTCTGCTCCTGCATCAGCCTGCCGTGAACTCATCCTTCAAATCGTCCAAACTCTTCCTCCCAGCTTAGTAGACCATAACAGCCTGTCCAAGATGTGTCATCTGCTTTCGGATCCATCCATGGACGTACAAAAGATGGCATACAAGCTCCTCCAGCAGGCGGCAAAGAAGCGTACAGAATACTTGGTCATCGAAGCTGGCGTGGACAGTGAAGACAAGTTCAAGGCTGACTTACCGCCAGAACTTCTCACCCTCCTTCAGCAGAATCTCAATATCGATTATTCAGAAGAGGTGGAGCAGGAACAAGTATGTTGTTTGGTGATCATTGGCTTTTTCGTACTAACAGTTTGTAGCCAGTATTTGGTTACCTTCTTGGATGGATGTTACTATTCGATCTCTTCGCTGACACAGTATGTTCTCTTGCCTAAATCCAAGAGACACTACTAACCAGCTCGCCTTACAGTCGCTCAAAGTTCGTGCGGCGTATATAGAGCAGCTTCGCAACTTGGGAATAATCAATACGCATTTCATTCCAACGATACTGGGCCTTCTTGGTCTAGATCGGGGTATTCTCAAATCTTTCAAGCTGGATGTTTGGGCGGTTGAGGAGTATCATGTGGCATGTGAGTTTGGTTCCTCTCTTTGGGCTACATGATGCTTACTACACCTGTCAAGTTTATGAGCCAGGGACAAACTTTACCCTTCAAGTCTTCGCTGCCCACTTGTACTATCGTGCACTTCTTACTATACCTTCTACCATCTATAGCTGGGTCATGGATTGCAAAGACCGTCAACTATCATCTGCAATCGGAACCTACACGTCTTCCTACTTCTCTCCTGTCATTATCAAAGCGGAGCTTGACCATGTCAAGAGTCCCGAGGCCATATCAGAACTTGCCGACGATAATTTGACCATCAAGGTGGCGAGCTCTGTGAACGAAGTGGCGGCTGCGTACCTGGTGGACGACCATCAGCTGGAGATCAAAATCAAGATACCCAACGACTGGCCGCTTCACCGAATAGAGATACGGGACGTGAAACGTGTGGGAGTCGATGAAAGTCGATGGCGGGCGTGGATTTTAGCCGTGCAACAGACCATGTGGGCCCACAATGGAAGGATTGTTGATGGGTTGGCCTTGTTCAAGAAGAATGTGACGCTGCACTTTGAAGGTCAAGTAGAATGTGCCATCTGTTATTCGTACGTTCACTTTTACTGTTTCTCTGACTATTCGGCTTATTGGCATATGCGATTACAGGATTATAAGTGTCATGGATGGAAAACTACCCAAAATACCATGTCGGACGTGCAAGAACCGCTTCCATGGCGGATGTTTGTACAGGGTAAATAGGCCTATTCAGCTTTCGAAATTCTTGACTGATGTTTTGTGCAGTGGTTCAACACAAGCCATTCGTCGAGCTGTCCCCTTTGCCGGTCGGATATCTTGCATTGAAGGAATACTTGAAGATTAAAATAGCTGTATCTTAGTCGATAGAACATACAAAACGTGTATCAATAAGATTTATCTAATGCCCAAGTGGAACATGTCAGTTGCGTGACCGACGCGTTCAATCACAACTCTAACTTTGACTTCATTCTAACCCTTCTGGCACCACTTTCCCTATCTACATAGCCTTTCAACCAAACCCGTGCTCATAAAGCCGGTTCAAATGATCCAAACCGGCCTCATTCAAAACGCGCATAGCGACCTTGTCACCGACGCGTCCTACGATTACTATGGTGTTCGGCTGGCTACGTGCGGGCTTGATCAAAGGTTGGAGGAAATGCTGTTTGGTCGAACGTTCGAACTGATGTTTTCCTCAGAATAAAAGTATGGCAGCTGGATGAAACAAACGGAACATGGAGCGTCGAGGATGACTGGAAGGTGCGCGAGTCCTTTGTTTGCATTTTTCATCGCTCAAATCCTCTCTTCAGGCTCACGATGCAGCTGTATCAAAAGTGAGCTGGGCCCATCCGGAATTTGGACCAATCATAGCGTCCGCTTCGTTCGACAGAACTGTAAAAATTTGGGAACAAACTACTACAGCTAGCGAGCAGCAACCAGTCTCTGTCAACGGAAATAGTGGTCAAACTCAACCTTCGTCTTCAAGATGGGTAGAAAGAGCAGTATTATTGGACGCGAGAGGGACAGTGAGGGCCGTAGAGTTTGCACCCCATCATTTCGGCCTGAAATTGGTGCGTTAAATCAGTTTTTGCTTCCTATAGATGAAGCTTATGTTGGCCGGTACAGGCTACGATATCAACAGACAACTTTCTCCGGATCTATGAATGCCTAGAACAACCATCTCTCACCACCTGGCAGCTCTCAGAAGAAGTCGACGTACTCTCGATACCCGCAAATTCCTACCCATCATACCATTCGCGCGCGCAGACAGTAGCACTAGCGACTCCAACCCAGAGTCATGCACCTCTAGAAGGCGCATCTGCATCGCTTGTCGCTCAGGCGTTATTGCAGCAGCAAGGATCTACCAGCAGTGCCCTTGCAAGACCAGGCTTAGGAAACCGCGAGGCTGATGGCGGGTGGTGTATATCATGGTGTAAGGATCGTTATTGGGGAGAGATAATTGCGGCTGGGTGCGGTATCAACGGCTTAATCAAGGTATTCTCTTTGGAGCTTACTCCCGGGACCACCCCTCACCCATTTCACAGATTATCCAACTCTCCCCGTCTCGCCGGCCCACAACACTTCTAGTCCTTGATCCAAACAACGCTGGTACGGCTACACCCGTTCCTGCTCTCCCAGCACCCAGAGGAACCGGCAGCAAGGAAGGCAGCGCGTCAGGATCTCCTTCCGGACAGGCTGGCAACGGTTCTGGGACAGACAATGAATCCCAACCAGCACCACACTCCGTTGTCTCTGTTGCATGGGCACCTTCATGTGGGCGCTCATACCATCTTATTGCCACTGGCAGCAGAGATGGCCGGGTGAGGATATGGAAAGTCAAACCTGCATCTGACTTGGACGAGGACGACGATGAGGCGGATCCTTCTGAAGAGACAGGATGGTCCGCAACTTTGGTTGCTGACCTTGATGATCACAAGTACGTATTGTACATTTCATGGAAAGCTTTTGTCTCACGTTCTCCTCTAGATCTTCGGTCGGCAGAGTTGACTGGAATATCACTGGGTGAGTACTATTCCCTCGATTTGCTATGTCAAGGGTCTGATCTTCTTGGGCCAGGACTATACTCTCCTCAGCCGGAAATGACGGTCGCATACGACTTTGGAAAGCAAGTGTCGGGGGAAGTATCTGGCGCCCAGCAGGTACTATCGGAGTTGAACAAACTCAGAACGAAAATGACCAAGAGGACGTTGATATGCAATCTTGAGTTACATGTAGAATATACTGGTGTATCTCGATAGTATAATGCGAAGTGAAATCCGCCTGGATATGGCCTAGGGCTACCGTAAGACGACAGCTATGGGATCCATTCAGTGTCACCATCGAGTATTGGTGCCTTTGTATGTTCGTGCAATGAGGTCAATCAATGATGTGGTGTACAAGTAATGGAACATTCCTGTCGCCCTCACTTGATAGTCAAATGCACTAGTGGTTATCATGTTCTGGTAAAGTTAAGGGGCATCAAGTTGACAAGTAGTCTTCTCCGAAAACAGGGAATTGACCGTCTTACCTCGATTAACGCCGGCTCGTAAAAGGTGCCTTTGGACGCCCTCCGCATCGAAGATTCAAGCAGGTAAGGCGACCTGTCAGCATAGTGCAGCACTAGCCGACTGACGCAAATTCTGGCTGGGAAGCGTTGAGTTCTTGGAAAGGGAATTGAAATCTCGACGTGCTGTAGTCGAGAAATACCTTCGTTCTTCAAGTGGATAATAACTTGCTGCTCAATCAAAATGATGATCGACCAGACTCTAGTGGAACCTTTTGCTCAATCAACCAGTCATTCGCACATCCAATCTAGCATTAACTGTGACCATGGAGAGTGATCTAGAGTCTTCTGGGGTTCCTTTCACGAGCTAAACATCCGTAGTCGCGCCACCAAGGTTCTGGAACGCTAGAACGCATCAAAAAGCGTCCTCTGCCGGTTGGCTGGATTGAACAACCGACCTTTGCATTGAAATAGCCCAGAATCGGGACGTACAAGTGCAACGCTCTGCCACTAAGCTAAACCGGCGAGTGATTGAGCTGATAATGATAAAAGGAAGTGGGGGATCGAGGAGAAGGTGTAGGAGAAGGGTCAGGAAGGATTGCCCGAGGTTGGAGGATGTTGGGTAAGGTATAGGCGACATGTTGGGTAAAAGGCACGTTGAATAGCCGTCTGTACTCTTGAAGGTTCAGTCAAGACGACCGGTAGAGAATCGGAGAACGTACCTGGGCCATAGACGCGCGAACATGCCTCCAAGCACCCACCTGTCAAAAGTTCCTCGTTCCGGATGCATATACTTGACAAGAGTGCATTTATAGGCGACATTAAGAGGCAGAAGGTCCCTTGAAAGGACTGAAGCACCTTTGAAAGCCCAGAAGATCACTGAGTAGTCGCCTTGGTATGAGATCGCCAGATACGTACGCGGTCAAAACCTAGCGGCTTGAAGAACACGTGAGTATAGCTTGTTAACGGGCTAAAAATTCTCGTAGGAATGCGTCGAGACAAAAAGAAGAGCACAAGAAGAGGGCAAGAAGAGGACTCGCAAGGGATAGTGGTGGTTTCAGGTCAAGAAGCATTCGCGCATTCACCGTGTGTGACAGGCCTGTCAAATTGACGCGCGCCCGGCGGCGCCAGTGCGCACCTACCAAGTGCCTACTGCCCGTAGACATTATTACTTGCACGAAAAAGGTGTGTTCATCTACTGTTAGGATCTCGTAACGGGGTTGAAAGGTTGAGCATGAGCCCGCTTTAGCTTAGTGGTAGAGCGTCGTATCTTTTGGATTAGCGCCCATCGATTAGCCTAGTGGAAGAACGTTGTTTTATTCCGGAAGTCAGGCAGGTGCATTCAGAAGTTCTCTCCTCGCAGAATCATGACAGTTGTCGAAGGTCAAGACTGGGCAATGTTAATGAAACAACAAGCGTAAGTAGGATACACGAGAAGAGTACATAGCTCCACAGATCGAAGGGTATAACGGTATAACAACACAAATACATATCTAGAGAGGTAAGGACACCACCAAATCGTAAAGCCCAGTATCATGATAACCTCGCGATTATGGGAACCCTAGGCCTATGCCGAATCTCCTTTGGTTTCCTGTACAACCACAGAGAGGAAGCGTATCGCTCTTCGTGACCTATAAAGGTAGGTACCTTTCGAGGCAATCTCTGTGTTGTTCGACTCATCTCTGACCGCCTTGACGGTGGGGGTGGTGGAAGCCGATAATCATCGTCACCACAAACTTTCGAACCAAGTGGTCTCCGGTGTAACCAGAGAGGTGGCGCTGATTGAGATACTGGCCGAGATTCAACGAGGGTGGAGGTCGTGCTGAAGGTGGTATGACGAAAAGTGGTAGGCTCGAGGATGGGATCAAAGTCATCGAGTGTGTTGTGCTCTTCCACAAAGGTAGCCTCGACTAGTGTTGTCGCCTCTGAAAGAGCAACACTAGCATGTTCCGCGGCCAACGTATCTTGAATCAGCGCGGGTTCATCTGGTGCGATGGTTACCGGTACGGTCTCCATGAAATGACCAGGTAGATGTAACGAGTCGTCCTCTCCTGCCTCTTCCTGGTCTATCTGCTCTTCTGCGATACTGTGACCACGCTGTTCATTGTGCACCATCTCTCCCTCGTTCGATACAGAAACGAATGACCAGATCCTACTCATGGTGCCTTGGAAGATGGAAGGGAGAAGGTTCGTCAAGTGCCCAACGTCGCTAGTGGTGGCCTAGGAAGATTTAGGTTAGCCAGGTATCCAGAGATGTCCAAAAGGGATGACAAACATACCACATAGCTATCATAGTCATCATTGATGTTGTTTTTCATGCTGTCTGCCATTCTTGCTCGTCGTTTACAATGGGAGAAGAGGCGAGGTTTCTTGGGGTTATGCGCAGAATGCTGCGTCATTAAGTATCAAAGAGAGACTTGTGGCAGGACCAGGTAACAGTGGCCTTCTCTGCGCTATTGTCCCACCGACGTAGCATGGCCGCTTATAGTGGCCCATTATAGGAATGTAGTCGAACAGTTGCGGTAGGTTGCGGTTCGGTTGCGGTCCTAAACATCAATCGAGCTGTCAACACAGAATGTCGGAATTTGGTTGAAGTTGTTGAGAGGCGTACCCTTTAGGTCCCTTCTCTCCATTTCGCAGAATTACAAGAACACATAGCACCGGCTTCGTCCGGTGTTCACGATGTGAATCCAAGAGAAGAGGCCGACCGGCTATTGTCCATAGCAGGATACCAAAGAGAGGAAACTGCGCCTAACTTGATACCCTGAAGCTTATCTGTGAAAAGAATTAGGGAACGTCAGATCCCAGTAGTACCAAAATAACTTTGAACACTCACATTTCACGCCCCAGTCTAGGATTCTCAGCCCTCGTTCTACTGTAACACCCGCAGGGATGCCGGGTTTCGGCCAAGACGCGAAGCAAAATTGCGGTGATCGATATCCAAAAATTGCGCGAAGGAATTTTGTTGAATAATAGCGTATTGCGAGGACATTTCCGTCTTTGACTTGGAGGTTGCTTGGAGGTTGAAAGAAGAGTCGCGATTCCGATTCGGTAATCGCGACTCTTCTCTCAACCTCCATGGCCAACGCACACAAAGTTCGGAATTCTCTCCTTCCTCAGGAATTGATTGATCATATACTCAGCGAGAAACTACTGGATAAAGGAGATCTAAAATCCTGTTCATTGGTTGCGAGGGAATGGCGGCAGACGAGCCAGAGAATCCTCTTTTACAGTGCGTGCTTTGCATTACATTACCAGCATTTTTTCTGACAGATGGACCTGCAGGTCTGCACATCTTACCCCCCAAAATGACTGAAGCTTTGCCCGACTACCTTTGTGTTCATGTTCGCCATCTCTCCATTGACTTCCGCTGCAGCACAATGCTCATGGAACTTGTTTCAATCCTATTACCCCGATTACAACATCTCATTAGCCTTACCATGAGATCCTTATTCCCCATTCACAGGTTGAAATGGTCCGCTTTCGAACAAAGCTGGGAGGCATTTCTACCATGTCTCGATATTCCCGACACAACTTCTCTCAAGTGTCTTATCCTCGATCGAACAACTTTCAAAAACCTGCATTCGTTTCACCATTTCCTCTCAAAGCCTCGCTTCCGTTACCTTGACGAATTGGTCATCCGAGATGCAGGATTCAGCCGAAACGTTCGTAACTATACGACCAATGGATATCAGGGAGTCGCGGAGCAATACCCTTGGGATTTTCGTTCCACCACGCTGAGGCAGCTGACCATGGTCAGATGCGAATCCCGCTTTCACTCACTATACTCTGCTCTCTGCGAACAACGATGTCCATTTGACATCACCAATATATGCAAATTGCAAGTCATTACGGATTCCGTCTATCGACTTTCGGATGGTCTCGATTTCCCAAAGACAAGTGGGGTATTTAATTCATTGACTCATCTTAGAACAGGAGGGGATAGTTTGTTTCTCTTTTGAGTCACCGCCAACCCACAACTAACGTTCCATTATTGATAGTGATTAAACTCGAGCCATCTCCAGACCCTGCACTACCTCTTCTAACCCACTACTACGCCAAGCTATTCATCGGGACAAGATTTGACGAGGATGATGGTCACCAGATTTACTCCGTCGTGGATCCTTTCCTGGATTTCCAAAATGCTGCACCCAATCTCCAATCTGTTACGTTGGACATACGGAATGTCTACAACCATGAACTTGGATTTGGTGCTTTCCAGGATAGGGTAGACGAAATCATCGCCAATGCTCCACTTCCAGCTAGCATCAGGTTCAACATTCTGGTGCCACACGGGACCATTGATGAAGTCCGTGTAGCTCTCCCGACGGCAAACGAGAACCGAATTTTGGAGGTCATGCATGCCGGACAGCCTGGAGAGTTCAAGATGTCACACGCGGACCCAGATGTCTTGCAGTGGATGTGCGGTATGAATCCGGAGGATGTAGGTGTTTATTTCGTTCTAATGTGCATCAAGACACTCATGGATCGGCAGGCCGAATACCTGTACTAGTCGTAGTAAGTATTGCTAGGTAGTCATACTACCGTCCGAGAATTCCATTTTGCCCTGTAATTTTTGCACTTATCCCATTGTATTCGGAATATTATAATCGGCCAACCTGCCATTCTACCTCACTCAAACTCCTGACTATCTTGCACTCAGATGCCCTTCATGCATTATGCAGCCAGTACAGTCCATTTGATATGACTAGAACACAGTTGCAAATATCGTATGTCACGGTGTATTTCCCGAAAGATTTTGTGTTCAGGTCGTTGACTCATATCAAGGCATGGGAGGACAGTAAGTACTTGCATGGTTCCAATAGTCACACCTAATTAATCTCAATCGCCTTCAGGAATACGAACTCAAACCATCGTTGCTACCCGTCCTGACTCACTACTATGTGACTCTATACACCACAGACGCTGGAAACGGTCCTTTCATCAAACCCTTCTCCCTTGATCTTCAAAATGTGGCACCGAGTCTCCAATATGTGCTTTGGGATATCGGGTCTCTTTGCAAATGGGCTCAACTCAGTGCCTTCCAAGACACGGTGGATTCGATTATTGTCAACGTACCACTTCCACCTGGTGCCAAAACCATAGTTCTAGTACCGGACGGTACTGTTGACCTCGACATTGTCCGCAATGCTTTTCTGATGGCAAGCGAGAGTCGTGGTATCGACGTTGCATATGCGGGAGCGTTCGCGGACTTCAAGATGTCATATGTAGAACCGGATACCTTGTCATGGGTTCGTGATCAAGGCCAGTACATCGGTGATGTAGGTGTCTACGTTATTCCTACATGCAAATGTGTGCTCATGATTCTGCAGTCCGAATACTTGTGCTAATTGGCATTGCTCCTACTGTGTGCTCACCTTTTCATGTAGTTCCTCGTACGCATATCCGTCAACTTCTTCATTTTCTTGGTATGAGTAGAGCACTATGCACGTAATCAACAATCCCTGCCACCACTCTGCGTTTTGTTCAAACTGCTATTCTAAAATGAACGCGTGTTTTTTACT